CAGGGTGAAGGGGGCGGCCGTGCCCTGCCAGCTCCCCATCACCCTTTCCCCTCGGCAGTGGAGAACCTGCGGAACCTCGTCTTCTGGAGCCTGCTCCCCGGTGCCCCCTTGGAGCCCCAGGCTGCCGGGGAGCCTGAGGATGACCTGACACCGACACCCTCTGTCATCAGCGTCACCTCGCACCCCTGGGACCCCGGCTCCCCGGGGCCAGCTCCCTCAGGGGCCAAAGGGGACACCCCCCAGCTTCCAGACCCAGAACAGGAGGCAGCCCTGGTGGGCTGTTCCCTGGCACACCTGCCCCCAAGGACCAGACATTCCGGGATCTGGGAGTCTCCCGAGCTGGACAGGAAGTTGGAGGAAGAGGCGACAGGAAGCTACAAAGTTGTGAGAAAAGGTAAATTGCAACCATGTTCACTGGGAAGATGGTGTCTTGCAAACAGCATGTCCCATCTTGGGAACAGCGAGGGGAGCTGGCAGTGACCGGGCCTGATCCGGGAGCCAGCCCAGAACTGGGTCATCTTGGCTCCGTTCTGCACTCTGGGGCCGCAGCCCACTGCCTCACCCAGTCAGCCACAGTCAGGTTTCTGCCAGGTCCACTGAAGACCAGGCCCAGAAGTGGCTCCTCCCCTCCAGCAGCTTCGTCCCAAGAGAGAAGGGCAGAGGGAGGACGGGAGTCAGGAAGGGCGAGTGACTGACCCAGGAGGGGTGGAAGGACAAGGTGGGGAGGTGCCTGGAGGGGAGAGTGGGTGAGCCAGGTGGGTGCATCCCAGCGTCTGGAATACCGTGTCTCGCCTCCAGGCAGGAAAGGCCCGCAGGGTCGGGCTGGGGACCCAGGACAGTCTGGTCCTCGCAGGCAAGCGCCTGGTGCTGAGTCCGTGGTGGGCAGGCCTCGCTCGGGGTTTCTGGGCCCTCCCCTTCCTTCTCTCTCCTTCGGTGAATGGTCCTGCCGCAGACGGGCGCGGCGTGCGCTCGGTGCTCACTTGGTTCTTCCCTTTCTCTCTCTCTCTCCTCCCGCCCCCGCTGCCTCTCCCTCCTCTGCCCTCCCTCTCTGCCTTTGCGTTTCTGCTGTCCCTGTGGTGGTGGTGTCGGTGCAGCTGAGGTGGCAGGCAGTGAGACTGTCCCTGCGCCACCCGAGAGGGGCCCACCAGGCCCTGAGCCACCTGAAGTAGAAGGCGGAGCGAAGGCTGCGGGTAATGAACTTCTCCTGGGAGCCAGCGCAGGCCGGGCTGCGGCTGGGCCCTGGGCCGGACGCGCCTGCACATGCCCGCCCTCTGCCAGGCAGGATGTGGGCCCCAGGGGACCTGTGTGACGGGCAGGCCCAGTGTCCTTGGTGACCCGAGTCGCCACTTCTCCCCCACCCACCACTCCAGCATCACCGGACAGTGTGCTTACCTGGCTCCTCCACTGAGGGCCCTCGGGGTTCCCCTGTGCATCCCCCACCCTGCCCTGCATGCCGCCCCCACAGCTGTCTCCCCCTGAGAGTGGCCATCTCTCTGGGATAGTGACCAGGTGGCTGTGGGCAGGGCCGCCGTGGAGGTCATCAGCCAAGCTTGCGGGGGGCCACGGGAGTTTTGCGTCCAGCCCACTGCCCAGCACGGGGCTGGCACGGGAAGACGCTCTGGCACTGGTGTGCGCCCGCTGACCTCCTTCTTTCCCATGGGGACAGGAAACTGTTTCTATGTCAGCATGCCAGCAGGACCCCTGGATTCCAGCACTGACACCACGGGGAGCCCCTCCCAGACCGGCAGCCTCCCCACCTGGCAGCCTCAGCGCCCACCACAGCAGCAGGGCATCCCCGGGACCGAGCGCCGCCCCAGCCACTGTCCCCCCAGCCTGGCGCTCAGGGACATGGGCCTCATCTTCAGCACCATCGAGCAGCTCACGCTCAAATTGCACAGGCTCAAGGTGAGGAGCTTGGGGCTCCCCGAGCCTGGGGTCTTGCCCAGGAGCCAGAGCTATATAAGCGGGGGCTTATATCTTTCTGCATGCACCCTCGCAGGACATGGAGCTGGCCCACCGGGAGCTGCTCGAGTCCCTCGGGGGCGAGTCGTCAGGCGGCACCACGCCTGTGGGCAGCTTCCACACTGAGGCCACCCGCTGGACGCTCAGCTCCCAGTCACCTCCAGCCAAGGAGCCTCCAGCTGCCGACTCCGGAGACAGCCAAGAACTGGGGCCATACCCTGAGCGCGGTGAGTGACAGCCGGGGGGATAAGGGCGCCCGTGGGGGGAGATGGAGACCCCGGGAGGAATAGAACTGGACCCCCTTGTCCTTTGTGGACGCAGTGGCGCATCTCCTGAGACCTGTGCTCAGTGACCAGCGTGGAACAGGCACAGGGGGCAGCCCCAGCTGGTTGTCTGTCCACCGCCTCAGCTGGAGGGAACCATGACAGATGAGGCCGGGGGCTTCCTCAAAGGGAGGGTCCCCTCAGGCCAACACTTCGCTATCCCCTCCACACATGCTTCACAGATGCCGACACCCCCCTGGAGGAAAGCACGGCAGACACAGCCACTGATGCCCTGGGACTGTAGCTGCTGGGACCACCAGACCAGTCCTCCGCATTCCCAGCTCTCTATGGCTTGTCCCGAAGCAGGGCACAGGCTGGGGTGCCCCTGGCCCCTCCGCCTGGTCGAGGCAGTGGGCAGGACCCAGGGAGACCCCGCATGTTGCTTGGTCTGCTCAGATCGGAGTTGAGTGTCAGTGCCCCCCCCGGCCCCCTAAGCATGCCCGCTGTGTCCACATGTCCGCCCTCAGCCCTGCAGGAAGAGGTGGCGTCCGTGTCAATGCACTTTCTCCCAGCCTCCTCCCGCCCAGGACCCTCGGGGAGGTGGGCTGCCTCGCCTCACCTCTGTCACTTGGGTTCCCTCTCAGTATGTACGCGTCAGCCGTGCATCCTTCGCTGTTGTAAATAACCTGGACCGTTTCCGCTTCTGTGCCTGGGTACTTGGAAGCAGTGACAGAAGGGACTTGCTTGCACCTCCTAGTGACCAGCCCTGGCCCGGACCCCGCAGGTGGGGGGTAAGGGAGGCCTCTGACTTCCAGCCCACTGGGCCCAAGAGCCCAGCCTCTGCAGCTTGGTGCTGACCCTCTGGCCCTCCCTGCCTGGGGCCACTCGTCATCCCCACATCCACCCTTCCCCACCTCACCACAGAAAACTAGTGTATCTCATATGGTACGGAGCTGAAGACTGGGCCCCAAGAACAGGGCCGGGAGGCGCTCATGCTGGAGGCCTAGAATTAACCCAGGACCATCCCCGGGGGCTGCAACCACACTGGCCCCGGCTTCCATGCCCACACCTCCCCCCACTGACTAATAGAATATACACACTGTGCTAGGTGTATATATACATATATATATATAAATATATATAATATATAAAATATAGATATGGAAATGACTGTTTGGCTGTTAAAATAATGTATACTCTTTTATTTTCTTCCTTTCATGGTTAAGATTTTTTTTTTTTAAGAAAAGTTAAATATTCTTCAACTGTGCTCGTGTGTGTGTTTTCTTGGCTCAGGAAGGAGGATCCTAGGCCTGTGGCCGAGTAAACTCGGTGCAGGGAGGGGTCCGGGATGGGCCTCTCAGACCCAGGGCCGCTGTTACCCCTCCAGGCACTGGTTCTAGGCAGCTCAGTGCTTTGTGGTTGGCCAACAGTGTTTACAGCCATGACCTCGGCACAGAGCCACCAGCCCCACTTACTTTACACACACTCACACACACCGGTTTCTCCAGAGTCCCCGTGCAACCCCTCAGGAACTGCCTTTGGGAGCTTCTGGACTTTTTGGAGGGGGCAGGGGGCGCTTTGGGCCACACCCAGCAGTACTTAGAACTTCTGGACCTGCACTCAAAAATCACTCCTGCCAGTGCTCGGGAAACCATGTGGGAGACTGGAGATCCAATCTGAGTCAGCTGTGTGCAAGGCCAGCGCCCCGCCACTGTGCTGTCACTCTGACCCCAGAGCTTCAAGACTTAAAAGGCAAAAACTACGAATGGGCTTTGTCATTGGCCCCTCTCCCCAAAGCACAGGGCAAACACCGTGTGTCCCCAGAGTGGTCACCCAATCCACTCCCTCCCCTAATGGGACCCAGCACTCAGGAGGCCCCCATGGCTCAGCACTAGGCAGATGTCCAAGTTCCCACCGAGCAAGTGGTCACAGCAACTCAGGCACAGGACCTCTGGCCACCACTATGATGCCTGGAATGTGCGAACATGGGACTGAGTGGGCCCCTCTGTGGAGGCCCAGCAGAGGCCAGGAGGGACCTCTCACAGTGGAGAGCAGGTGTCCACTGTGGGCTAGTCTCACCTGCCCAGACATGAGGGTACCCCCCGAAGTCAACCCTGTGCTCCCCACACAGCAGCTTATCTCTGCAGATGCAGCATTCAAGAGTAAGGTGTGAGGTCGCAGCTCCCCACTCCTGGCCACTGGCATGTCAACAGTGTGATACATGTGATACAGGGCCTTGGCTGAGAATGTGGGGAGACAGGACCCCTCCAAAGTAGCCCCAGCCAGCCCTGTTCCCTGAGGCTGAGCCCCAGCCTCCCCTCAACCAGTCAGAGGCAGGGAGTGGAGTGCTGGCATGAGGGAACCCCACACTCAGTCCCTCCGCCCAGCCCACCCTACCTTCTCTATTCAGCTAGTGTCTGGTGCTACCTCCCTGCAGTCTAAAGGCTGCATGTCCACCCTCCCACTGTGGCACCCCATGTCTTCCAGGCCAGCAGTTCTCATCCCTTAGAAAGCAAAAGGTAGTGCCTCCCCCGCACCTGCCCCCTCTGCCAACATGAGCGGGGCCCCAAGCCTCCCCAGCAGAACCTGCACACATGTCAGCCACTACCAGCCATAGAACATGAACAGATTCAGAATCCAAATGTTCCACGTAGCTCTAAAACCAAGTTTTCAGACAATGTACAGCATTGACCTGTTTGGGTTGGGAAAGCTCCCCTCTCCCCTGGCAAGGTCGGGCTTCGTGGATAGAAGCGTGTGTGGCACCTCCTTGGGGTGCTAGGAGAGGAACGACAAGCTCTCCTCCTCCCTAGGCTTGGCCTTATTGACGGGGTCCCTGGGCAGCATCATCTCCTGGATCATGATATACATGGGGTTTTGCGGGGAGAAACGGTTTTTCTGCAAGAGGGAAAGGCAGGCTGGCAGCTGACAGGCCAGGGATGGGGCCTGGCAGGGATGAGGGATGGGGTGTCCCGGGACAGCAGGTTAGGAGCAGGGTGGCAGAGGGCAGGTGCTAAGTACAGGGCTTTGCAGGAGAACGAGGGAAAGGTAGGCTTGCCTTGAAGTGGGACTACCGAGAGGGGGACTCACTGCCAGGGACAGCCACAGCAGCCCCGTGGGGCTCTTGGCAGAGTGCTTGTGCTTGGAGAACTGGACCTGGTACTGCACGGTGGTGAAGAAACCTTGCAGCCCCACCTCCGTGATGCAGTTTCCTGTGGAGAGCAAATGCAGCTATGTGACCTGACACCACCTGACTTCGTCTGTACCCTAACTCCTCTGCTTCTCTCCCATCTTAGGGGGTTTGTTTTGGTTTTTTTTTTCTGCCTCCTGCCCTGCCCCACCCCCTTTCTCTCAATACCCTCATTGCTCTCTGATACCAAACCCCATCTGTCACTAGTGCTCAAGCCTGGGAGACCCAGGTTCTGCCTGTCAGGACAGGAACAGGGACTCCTTGTAGTAGAACACGGCCCGGGCAGCTCTGGGGAGAGGAGAGAAGAGGAGATGAGAGAAGAGCCTGCAAACGTACGGAGGAGGTTGAGGTGCAGAAGGACCTTGTTTCCAGCCAAGAACACTTTCCCGCTTCGATGCTCCACTGGTTCTAAGAGAGGGTTGACTATCTCGGTCGATTCTCCAACCAGCTACTAAAGCAGAGCACAGAGCAAAGGGAGCCAGCCGAGGGGCCGTGTTTAGTTTTGGTAGGAATGGGGTTTGGGAGACCACATCAGCGGTGCTCAGGGATCACTCCTGGCAGGAGTGATTCTGCCAGGATCCTATGTGGTGCCACCACACTGGTTTAGAGGATCAGCGATAGTTCAGGCATTTATCCTTGGTGCAGGGGAGTCAAACCAGGAATTTTGCTCCATGGCTTGGAGGCCAGCCACACATGCTAGGGGAAAAGGGAACTCAGAAGGGAGCACCAAGTGAAGGGTGTTGGGAGGATCCTCCCAGGATGGGAGAAGCATGCTGAAAGTAGACTATAGACCAAACATGAGTGCCACTACTCAATGCCTCTTTTGCAAACCACAACACCCAAAAGGAGAGAGAGAACAAAAGGGAATGCCCTGCCACAGAGGCAGGGTGGAATGGGGGGGATGGGGGGAGGGAGGGATACTGGGAACCGTGGTGGTGGAAAATGGGCACTGGTGGAGGGATGGGTATTTGATCATTGTATAATTGAAATCCAAGCACAAAAATTTGTAAGTCTACAACGTACCTCATGGTGTTTCACTAATAAAAATCTTTTAAAAAAATAAGCAGGGGCTGGAGCGATAGCACAGCAGGTAGCACATTTGCCTTGCACCTGGCCGACCCAGGTTCAATTCCTAGCATCCCGTATGGTACTCCCAGCATTGCCAGGAGTAATTCCTGAGTGCATGAGCCAGGAGTAACCCCTGTGCAACGCTGGTTGTGACCCCCCCAAAAAAGGGGGAACAAAGATCAATAAGCACCTACCCACAGGAAGCAACTTTGGGGCCAGAGAGCTGGCTCAAAAACCTGGAGCACTAACTAGAGCGGGAGTCTGGAGCTCAATCCCCAGCATCACATGATCTCCCGGGCACTGCCAGATATATTAGAAAGCACATTTGTTGGGGGAGCCCAAAAGTGGCCTGGGAGTTACTGCAGTGATGACAGCCGGCAGGTAAGCTCCACGTGTGGCAGGAAGGGACAACTGGTCTTTGAGGCCAGGACTGCCTCCAGAATTTTGAATGGCACATTGTGGCTCTCACACAAATGAAAGACAAGCCGGGGACCAGAGAGGTGCTCAAATGGGGTGGAGCACAGGCTTTGCATGCCAGAGGCCCAGTTTCAATCCCCAGCACCACATGGTTTCCCCTGAGTTCCACAGGGTAGAGCCTCTAGCACAGAGCTGGAAGAATAGAAATACCACTGCGGGTGGTTCAGAAACACACACACACATTCCCCAGAAAGAGGCATTCCAGGTCAAAATAAAAAGAAAATCCCGCAAGTGCCCATAGGCCCCTAAGTTTGGGGGCCATGGAACACATTCAGCTTGCCTAAGCATTCCCCGACAGAGCGAGGACGACACCGGGTTAGAGGGAGGTAACAGTGAGGGCAGGACAAAGTGAGAAACAGCAGCCTGGCTGGGGGCATGAGAAATTGACACACCCGCTTTCTCTGCCTGCATGTGCTCTTACGATAAAAGCTAGTCTCGGGGGCCAGAGAGTACAGCAGGCCAAGTGCCTGCCACATAGGGAGCCCAGAGCCCCACCAGAAGGTACACCCAAGCACAAAGTTAGGTGTAAGCCCTGAGCAGTGTTAGATGTGGTCTCCAAATAAAAACAGACAAGACCCATTGGAGGGTGCCCTTTGAGAGTCTCACTGAATGTGAGATCAGAGAGGCCTCAGGCAGCAGGAGGGCAGAGTAAAACAAGGAGAGGGGAAAGCCAGGCTCGGGCCGGAGTGGGATAGTACAGCAGGTAAGGCTCTTCCCTTGCACGCCGCCAACCCAGGTTCGATCTCAAGCCTCCCACGATGCCCTGAACACTGCCAGGAGTGATTCCTGAGCGCAGAGCCAGGAGTAACCCTGAGCATCTCCCAAGTGTGGCCCCAAATAGGACAAAAAAGAAAAGTGAGGCTCTAGGGGCAAAGGTCTCACGAAAGAGCCTGCAATGTGACTGGGACGGTGCCCTGTGACTGTGTCCTTGGGGTGCAGTATGGGCACCTGTTAACCAAGCAAAGGCAGAGGGGGACACCCTAAGCCTAAGAGTGGGGGTATACTGAGCCCTACTACCCCCCAGCAAGTAGAGCTTTGAGTCCCAGTGTGAAAGTCCAAGTGGCTGCTGGTGGGACAGGAGTCAGCCTTGGGGGGCTTCGGTGAGGGGTACTGGGCACGCCTGCTGCACCTCACCCACCTCGGCCTCCATCAGGATGCTGCGCTTCTCCTTATTGCCAGTCTTGGGCCCTTTGCCCTTGGTGGGCTTCTGCTCAGGGATGGTCACCTCTGCATGGGAAGAGGACATGAGGGCAGAGGATGCCCCTCTGATAGCACCATGTCCCTGAGAAGACAGACAAGGTGTCCCAGATCCAATTCAGAGCTCTGGGTTTCGGGATAACCAACCACGGCGGGGCCGCAGTCTAGTGGCTAGATGCCTTTTCTGCGGGAATGCAAGGAGACAGGAGGGGTTATGGGGGTGGGGTCCTTCCCATAGCATCTTCTGAGAAAAGGACACAGGCCCAAAGGGACTCAGAGAAGAGCCTGGCGAGGGCAGAGAGCAACTCAGCCGGCACCAGGCCAGGTACGTACTCCCTTTCCCCCCCTTCGTGAAGTCTTCTTTCTTAGGGGCTCCTTGCGTCGCCAGGCTAGATCCCGACTTCTCCTCTTTTTTCACCACCTCCTGTGGGGATGCGAACAGAGAGGTGAAGTGCCACATCCTGGGGCTCTGGGAGCAGCCTTCAGAGACCCCCCTGGCCTGGCCTGGCCTGCTGTCTGCAGCTCACCTACCCCTGACTTCTCCTTCCTCTTGCCCAGGCCCTTGGTGCTCTTCAGCGACTGCATCTTCTCTGTCTTGTCCACCAGCGCCATACTGCTGGCCCCGATGCCCTGACTCTTCTCCCGCTCCGTTCTGGAGTCTCCGTGTCGAGAGGACGAAGGCTGTGCCCACAGTGGGGGTGGGAGGAAGGAAAGGCCCGAGCCCCTTCCCAGTGAGGAGCAAGGGGCCGACAGCAGCACATCATCCCTGACTCCCAGCCTAAATGCTAAATCCCTTTGTTTAGGGCTCTTTGGGGGGAAGGTTGGGGAAGTGGAGACTCAAAACAGAGGCTCAAACTCTCCTGCTGAGGGAGAAAAAGTAGTAAATAACTGTTTTACTTGGGGGCCACACCCGATGGTGCCCAGTGCTTCCTCCTGGCTCTGCACTCAGAGGTCGCTATAGGGGATGGGAGGATGGAGATTAGAACCTGATGGGCTGGGTGCAAGTCAAGTGCCCCGCGAGCTGTGCTATCTCTCACCCCAGCTAACTTTTCTTGAGCAAAATGCCAGTCACTGTTCAGACAGCACTGCCTGGATTAACTCATGGAATACTCGCAACAATCCTACGAGGTAGATAGTTGTCCCCACTTTACAGGTGGGGCAATTAAGGCCCTGACATTGGAGGTAAGCACTCTCACTCCCAGACTGCTACTCACCGATAGGGACCGCTCCTGTGTGCCTTTTTCCAGCAAGAGACGACGGCGCTCTACCACCTCCACATGCGTCAGCTCGAAGGGGCGCAGGACCTGGGGCAGGCAAGGGGATGTCCCAGATGAGAACCCCAGGTGTCCGGTCCATTCATCAGCCCCACCAGGACGACACACTCACCTCAGCGAGCTTCAGGGCACCTTTGTCCCCAATGCGGTTGTGGGCCAAGGACAGCCAAATCAGGGAGCGATTCAGTCGGAGGCCCTGAGCAGGCGGGAAGGGACTGGACACGAGTGCGCAGGTGTGCCCCATCCCTGCTCTGGCCCGCCCAATCGGCCCATGCCCCGCCCCCATCTGCCCTGGTCCCGCCCCCGTCGGCCCTGGCCACGCCCCAGTCCGCCCATTGGCCCTGGCCACAACCCAGGTCCCGCCCCCGTCAGCCCCGGCCACGCCCCAGCCCGCCCCTAGGACCCACTCACGTCTGCAATGCAGCCAGCGCCCTTGTCCCCAATGTGGTTGAAGGCCAGGTTGAGCGAGACAAGGGTGCGATTGGAGTTTTGCAGCGTGGACAGAGACTGGCCCAGGAGCTGCGCACCCACGTCATCGATATTGTTGTTCCGCAGTGACAGGTGGGTGATCCTGGGCAGTGGGATGGAGAAACGCGAGGTCTTGGCCGTCTGTCAGAACTTCAGAGGCCATGGAGTTGTGAAGGAGGGTCAGCCTAAGGGTGCAAGGGCAAGAACCGAAGGGAGACTCTAGAGAGGCAAGGGAGGGTGGGTACTAGGGACAACCTGAATGGGACCCAGGCCCAGAGGACGGGGTGAGGGAAAGGAGCCTCACGTGCTGTCCTGTGCCATGAGCTTGTGATATGGCTGATCCTTCAGCGGGTTCCCCTCCAGACACACCTTCCTGGGGGTGGGGAGAACTGAGAACCAGGAGGCAAGGCTGAGCCTCCAGGAGCAGCATGGAAAGAGAGGCAAAGTAGAGCAAACTATGCTGAAGTTCCCCAGACTGACTCACAAGTGTGGGCATGTGGAAGGGCCCTTCCACACTTAGTAAACTGTGTGACAAGGTGACCACTGGAGCCCCTCCCCCACAGTGACCTCCCCTTTCTGGAATCTTGCTCTCGTATAATTTCCTCCCTGTGAGTTTGGCTAGAACCAATGATGTACATCTCATGAACACGGCAAAAATCTGGGAACTGATTTTGCTTTGTTTTGTTTTTGTTTGGGAGGTCACACCAGCAGTGCTCAGGATTTACTCCTGGCTCTGTGCTCAGGGATCACTCCTAGTGGTGCTCAGGGAACCATATGGGGTGCCAGACATTGAACCCAGGTCAGCTGCATGCAAGGCAGCCTACCCTCTGTACTACTGCTCCAGCCCCTATCACTTTCAAGTTTAAGTTAGAAAGTCTAGATTTCTGGTCAGGGAGATGCGCGAAGGACTGAATGTGTGTTGTGCATGCTGGAAGGCCCAAGCTCCACCCCAGTAGGGCATGGTCCTTCCCACCAGCACCTCCAGGAATGGACAAACTACACCCCCGCCCTAAGCAAACAGAGCTAGCCCCCAGAACCATAGGTGATGGCCCAAAAGCCAAGGGAAAATGTCTCAATTTCTCTCAGGCATGCTCTGGCACGCAGATCACCAGCAGCAGCTCCAGCCTCAGTCACATGATTGAATCCCCACCAAGCACCTTCCTGCAAGCTGACCAGGAAGCCAGCCAGGCATCTGCCTGCCCACACCTGGGCCTGTCTCCCAGCAACGGCGAGATACTGACAGCTGTTATTTTAACTTAAAACTGAGTTCTGGGGGCTATGTTACCAGTAGGTGAGGACTACATCACCGCAGCATAGATAGGGGCAATGGTGCCAAAGAACCAGGGTCCTTCCAAGTCCCAACAAAAGCAGGAATTTTTTCTCAGATTATATTTTGACCCTTGCTTCGCCTTTCAGGCTGGCTCATCTTTCATCTAAAATAACTGCATTCATTTTTAATTACTTTTAATGACACTGAACTGACTCTTTACATATTCAGGTGAATGATATAAATCTCTTTCTACAGGCTTGATTGTTTCTCAGGAGGAAATTTAAAAACTACTTCCATAGAGCCAGGTGGTACAGCAGGTAGGGCGTCAACCAGGGTTTCATCCTCAGCACCATACATGGTCCCCCAAACACCACCAGGACCAATTCCTCAGCACAACCCCATCCCCAGATAAAGAAGTGGTGAAGAGCCTCATAAAGAGGCAGTCAAATCAGTTCTACCGCTTGTATAGCAAGCTGCACCCACAATTGCATCCCACCCCACTTTGCCCGGCTCCCACTGGACAAAGGACACCCTTCCCCAGCTCCTCCTCTCACCTAGTACTCCTTCCAAAAGGCTCAGGCCACACTGCAGCAGCGAGAGTTGTCCCTTCCTCCCCGCCCCTTCAGGGTCCTAGATGTCACACCCAAGAACTGCGTCCGGGCCATATTTAAAAGCACCACCATCCTTGATCCAGAGACTCACAAATGAATCTCAAAATGGATTAGCTTCATACAGAGATGTGTCTGGACCCCAATCATTTACATATTTAGAATTCCAGAAGCATGCAGCTGCTTCTGCAGCCATGCACCCTCTCACGATATTCATAAAAAGTAATAGAAAATAAATTATCTAGAATCTGGGGCTGGAGCGATAGTACAGCGGTAGGGCGTTTGCCTTGCACATGGCCGACCCGGGTTCGATTCCCAGCATCCCATATGGTCCCCCGAGCACCGCCAGGAGTAATTCCTGAATGCAGACCAGGAGTAGCTCCTGTGCATCGCCGGGTATGACCCAAAATGAAAAAAAAAAATCTAGAATCTGCCTGTGGCGGGCAGACTTGAACAGTGGTGGAAAAATTTGAAATAATGGTGGTGGGAAGGTGTAATGGTGGGGAGCTGGAGCGATAGCACAGCAGATAGGGTGTTTGCCTTGCACACGGCTGACCTAGGTTCGATTCCCTCGATTCCCAGAATCCCATATGATCCCCCAAGCACCACCAGGAGTAATTCCTGAGTGCATGAGCCAGGAATAACCTCTGTGCATCGCCGGGTGTAACCCAAAAAGAAAAAAAAAAGGGTGTAATGGTGGTGGAATTGATGCTGGAATATTGAATGTAATCGATGTGAACAACCTTATGAAAATAAAATTTTTTTAAAACGACTCCTCCACCAGGCAGCCTCAAGGCCTCTTGCTGCTTGCACCCTTGTCTGCTCCACCCTCCCTGCAGTTCAGGCCCTGAAGAACAAGACCCCACCACCCACCCCCACCCCACCCCCCTACCCCCACCCCCGCCTTCCATTCCCCACTCCCCACACACACACTGGGGAGGGAGTGGGGAGCCAGGGAACATTCAAAGGGACCACATGGGTGGTGGCAAGGATGGTGGAAGTGAGGCCCTGGTCTCTCTGGGCAGGTGGAAGCAGGAAAGGAGAGTCCCCCTATACCCCGAACCACACCTGTCACCTCAGGGACCATCCATGGCCCCCAGGAACTGGTCCTCCCCTTCCCTCCCCGACAACCCAGCCCTGGGCTTTCTTCCCCAGGACTCACTTGAGTGCAGAGCAGAGGGGCAGCAGGGCGACGAAGGTGTCCAGGGTCTTCTCCGTGAGCCCCACCTTCCACAGGCTGGCTCAGGAAGCACAGAGACACCAGCTGGGCGCACCCCCCACTCCCGCAGCACCCCTGTGCGCAGCACCCCCCTCCTGCCCCTTCTCCCTGGAGCCCCCACATCCCCTCACTTGATGGCCTGCAGTTGGGTGAGGGGAGGCAGACACTTGGAGAAGATCCACAAGATACGCTCCTCCACCTTCCACCCTGCGGAATGAAGGAGGCGGGGCGCCAGGCTGGGGTGCAGAGCGTGGGGGGCTGCGGGGCGCAGGGCGGGGCACCGCCGATTATCCAGAGCCCTCACCGCGGATGTGGATCTCCTTGACCGCCTTGTCCTCGGCCTCCATCTCCACCTGGATGGTGGGCCGGAAGAACACGTACTTGCTCTCCAGGCTGTTGAGGCTGCAGGACGCGGACAGGCGCTGGTCGTCTAGGATGCAGGAGCCGAGGAGCGGGGGCGTTAGCGGGGAAAGGGCCTCCGCCCCGGTCGCACTTCCAACGGGCACTCCGGGCACTCCGGGGCGCTCAGCAGGCCTTCCCAGGACCAGGATCTGCCCTCCCAGGGTTCGGGCGAGGAAGGGGAGAGGCGCCCCTGCCCGATCCTCCACCCCCACCCCAATCCACCCATCCCGCACTCCGCCTCCTTCCCACCTTGGTTGGGCTTCTCCGAAGTGGAGGACGAGGTGATGAAGGTCGAGTGTGGGCGCGGCCGGGGGACCACTTTGGGGAAATCCGTGAAGCCTGACCGGGTGCAGAGCTCGGCGAAGTCCGTCTCCAGGACGCCGGTGCACTGGTACTCCTCTGGGGCCCGGGCCGCGCGGTCAGCGCCCACGGCCACGCGGGGGCAGCCGAGACCGCGGCCCCGCGGCCCGCCCCTGGGAGGGACCGGCTCCTGCGCTGTCCCCCTCCTGCGCTGTCTCGCTCCCGCGCTGTCCCCTAGGGTCAGGGCCGCTTCCTTCCTGCCTCTCCACTCCCGGAATGGGGAGAACGGAGGTGGACCTCCGCTGCCCACAAAGCATCCGCAGAGCAGCCTCCCCCACCCCATGTCCTTTTGCACACGGAGAAGGCAGCCCCGGCTGATGAGCGCAAAGGCTGGGACCTCTCTACTGCCTCCTATACACCCCCAAACACACACCGAGGCCCAGGCCCTTATGTATGAGGGGATGGGGTGCTGGGCGACACCAGCTGTGCTCAAGGCTTACTCCAGGCTCAGGGGTCACTCCTGGCACTGCTCAGGGGCACTGTATGGAGTGCAGTGAACCTGGGTCAGCCGGTGCAAAGCAAATGCCCTACTGGCTGTACTGTCCTTCCAGATCCATGCTAACGTGATTTAGCACATTATTTATTTAGCACTTTCTACTATTCAGCATCTCACCCAAGGTTTTAGAACTGTTCACTTCGTTGCAGATTACAGTGATTTGATATATGCCCACCACATCCCTTCCTGAGGTGTCAGCGGACCCCCAAGACTTTGCCCACTCCTTCCAACTCCCACAAGGACCTCCCAGAAGTAAGTGGCTTCCACCTGGAGGTGGAAGGCGGGCCCCTGGCAAATATAGCCAATGGAAGCAGAAAGACCTTCAAGTGTGGAGTAACCAGGCCCAGTCCGGCAAACATGGACAGCCGTGCCCAGTGAGAACTGCAAGCAAGGAACAGGGGCCACAACTGGCAAAGTTGTTGGTCCAAGAAAATGGCCTTAAGAGTGAATAACACTGTGGGGCTGGAGCAATAGTACAGCGGATAGGGCGTTTGCCTTGCATGCGGCTGACCCGGGTTCGAGCCCCAGCATCCCATATGATCCCTCAAGCACCGCCAGGAGCAATTCCTGAGTGCAAAGCCAGAAGTAACCCCTGAGCATCGCTGGGTGTGACCCAAAAAGTCAAAAGAAAAAAAAAAGTGACTAACACTGGGACCAGTGAGATAGTACAGTCGGTAGGGTTCTTGCCTTGCATGCAGCATACCCAGGTACCGATTTCTGGCACCCTATATGGTCCCATGAGGCCACCAGGAATGATTCCAGAGTGCAGAGCCAGAAGTAAGACCTGAGACTTGCCAGAATTGCCCCACCATCAGCCCCCCTGCAAAAAAAAAAAAAAAAGGAATGAATAACACAAGGAGTGCCTGCGACCCTGATTTGAATCCCTGTGCACCGCCAGGGATCACTCCTGAATACTGGGCCAGGAATGGGCCCTAAGCACTCCTTGGTATTGGTCCAAACCCTCTCCCCCACCCCCAACCGAAAAAAAAAAATAGAATGTTGCTCTGGGCAGTCTTAAGAAGCTCTGAGTTTCTTAAACTGGGTCATGGCTTTATATAAATGTGTTTGGGGGGAGTGTGAAATATTGGGCAATAGTACAATTTCCTCAGTGTGCAAAGACCAAAAGTGAATTCAAAAGTAAGTGTGTGGTGTTTCTGGCAGCGCCCACTGTGTTGCCTTTCCCGGGGGAAATGGGTAGAGGGTGGGAAAAGTTTCAGAGGCCGATGGAAATGTTCTCTAATATGCTCTGCTTCAGCCACTGACTCCCCGTGGGCAGTGCCACTCCAAATGACTTTGTTCCGGCTCTCCTCCCTCACACGCTCATGAATGATCTTGCCTGTGTCTTCCTGAGAAAGAGAAACCACTGAGGGGGCAAAGCTATCGTATAGCGGATACTTGCAGGTGGCCAATCCGGGTTCGATCGCTGGTACTCCAGATGGTCCCCCAAACCCACCAAGACCGATTCCTAAGCTCAGAGCCAGAAGTAAGCCCTGAGGATTGTCAGGTGCAGTCGAGAAAAGAAAAAGAAGCCATAAAATGAGATTTCCTGAATTTAGTCCTATACTAATTTCCTCACCTGCTAGAGAATTTTTTTCCTTTCCCCTCTACTCTCTATCTCAAAAACAAAAAGAATGTCCTCTATTATTTGGTTTGATTTGGGTTTGAGTTTTTGGGGAAGCTACACCTGGCAGTGTTCATTGGTTAGTGGTCTCTCCCAGCTGGGCAAGGGGCCCACACGGTGCTAAGTCCCCACTCAGCCCTATGAATCAATCACCCCAACTCTGTGGGTTTGCCCCTAAATCTCTGTGCCTTCCTATAGCCACCTTCCCTGTCTCCCGTGGGCCTGTACCTGCCCTGCACACAGTGATGCCTGCTACATATGCTCTGACCCTTAACAACAGGAAGACAAGTCCAGTGATGGAAACTTGCCACAAGTGGAAGAATGGGGAGGGCAGTTAAGATAGAGAAGGCACCAGTTAGACAATGATAGCTGGAAATGATCACTCTGGACAAGAACTAAGTGCTGAAAGTAGGTAAAAAGATATAGATAATAACCTCTCAGTACCTATATTACAAACCATAATGCCCAAAAGGGGGGGGGAGAGAGGGGGGGAAGTGCCTGCCATTAGAGGCAGGCTGGGGAAGGGTGGGGTGGCAAACAGGTGAGGAATAGGGTGAAAGGGAAACTGGGGACATTGGGTGGTGGGAAATGTACAATGGGTATTGGGACATTGTATGAATAAAACCCAATTATGAACAACCATGTAACTTGTGTATCTCACACTGTCACTGTCACTGTCCTCCCATTGCTTATCGATCTGCTCGAGCAGGCCCAGTAACGTCTCCATTCTGAGACTTGTTGTTACTGTGTTTGGCATATCAGATACGTCACGGGTAGCTTGCCAGGCTTTGCCATGCGGGCGGAATACTCTTGGTAGCTTGCCCCTCTCTGAAAGGGGCAGAGGAATTGAACCCGGGTCGGCCGGGCCACCAGTGTGCAAGGCAAACGTCCTACAACTGTGCTACCGCTCCAGCTCACAGTGATTCAATAAATAAATAGATAGATAGATAGATAGATAGATAAATATGCTCTGTCCTTGGGCCCGGTCCTCAGCACTCCCATTTCTTCCCTCTGTCTCCCTTCCTCCTCACACCTTCTGAGGCTGGCTTCTGAGCTTGCTCCTCTTCTCTAGGACTCCAGATAATCTCCTCTCACTTGCTTTCCTGGGGTTGAACATCAGCAGTTTCTAAGGTCACCTCTCCAGCCAGGTCATCTCTTAGACTCAATGTGTCCAGCGACCCCACTGCCCATTGCCCTTGAAGACCCCACCTTCCAAGCTCCACCTTCAGCCTCTCCCAGCTCCATTCCCCACCAGGAGCTAGGGCAGAAACCTGGTGATCATCTATCTTCCTTTCTTCCTTCCTTCCTTCCTTCCTTCCTTCCTTCCTTCCTCCCTCCCTCCCTCCCTCCCTCCCTCCCTTCCTTCCTTCCTTTTTTTTTTTTTGCATCACACCCAGCAACGCTCAGGGGCTACTCCTGGCTCTGCACTCAGGAGTTACTACTGGCAGTGCTTGGGGGACCATATGAGATGCTAGGGATAACCGAGGTGGGCCGCATGTAAAGCAAATGCCCTCCGCCGGTGTACTATCCCCGCAGTAGGCAGGTCAGAGCCACCTCTCCAGTTCAAGACTACACACTTGTCCCTACTTCCCGCGTATACAGCAGGCTGAGCCCTCTTCCCTACAGCACTCTTAGCATCAAACTCGTGTGATCACGTCTTGGCCAGCACCCCAGAGCATTTCCCTGCACGAGGATACTGGGACTCACGCACCCCATACAACCCCGCCACCATCATACCAGGGTTTTTGGACTCCTCCTCGCCCACCGGCGGCAGGACGGTTGCCGGCTTCTCTTTGGCCCCGCGATCTCCCTTTTTGGTCATAGAGCCGGATGACTTCAGGGTGAGGGGACGTGCGGACCTGGGCGAAGACCCCGTCTCACTTGTCATGCTGGTGCCCTCGGTGACTCCCGGGCGCCGCTCCAGGGCAAGGAGGCAGGATGGGGCTCGCTGCAGCTGCGGTGAGGTCCGAATCGAGGACTCAATTCTGAGTCCAACCACCCCAACGACCTCAGCGGCTTCTCCTCCCGGCGTCCCTCTCCACGACAACCGCGCGAGGTGGGCGGGCCCGCGGGTAAGGGAGCAACCGCGGGTGAGCTCGGGGGCGTCGAGAGGGGGCGCAGCAGAGTACGCGCCCGGGGCGACCGTGGGTGCGGCCACGACGGAACAGGGCGTGGGTGTAGGCGGAGCCAAGGCGGAGGAGGGCGTGGTCACGACCAAATGGGGGTGTGAGTGTGGGCGTGGTCGCGGCGGGTGTGGGCGTGGTCGCGGCGGGTGTGGGCGTGGTTATGCCTGCGAGTGGGCGTGGTCGCTGTGGGGCGGGGCGGGTGGGGCCGTCTCAGAGCCAGAAGCCCCAGCGCCGCCCGCCTCTACTACCGGCCCCACGTATTTGGTCTCCCAAAGGCAGGGGAACCAGGGTAATCCACTGAACAGGTCGGGTCCTGTGGTCCGCATAGCATGGATTCAGAGACCTCTGATAATTGTCTTGTGGGCCACACCTGGCGCTGCTCAGGGCTTACACCTGGCTCTGGGCTCTGTCCTGGCCAGCTCAATGGATTGTATGTGATGCAGAGCTCAAACCTGGGTCAGCCAGATGCAAGGCAAACACCCTACCTGCTGTACTGTCTCTCTGACCAGTTTGTTTTGGTTCGGGGAACACACACTAAGGTTCCCAGGGCTTACTCCTGACTCCCAGTGATAATGGAGGGGCCCTATCTGGTGCCAGGGATCAAATCCAGGTCAGTGGTGAACTTCCCCTCTGTTCTGCCTCTCAGACTTAGTTCACTGGTAATTTAGTGCCCTGCCCTGCACCCCTGCAGCCCACTGTTCCTGCCCCCTTCCACTCTGCCCTGATCTGCTGCGGGAAGGACTATCTCTGGTGGGTCCGATCTGCAGCCTCTTGATCACCCATTTGAGCACTTAAACATCTCTGGTGTCCTCACTTCACACAGCCAATCAGTCTTTTGGGGGGCTTTTATTGTGTGTCTGGGGGAACGAATGTACACAGGCCTGCCTTCAGGGAACTCACAGTCCAGGGTGAGGCAGACCTTCCTCAAACCATTCTGCAGTAATCACCCCAGCATCAGAGGTGTCCCGCACCCCGAGAGCCTTCTGCAGCTGCAAGCAAAGAGGGTAAGCCCCGGAAGGAAACTGAGATCTGACGGGAGTGCACTGGGGAACCGGGGAGAAAGAGCAACCAGGAGGGCCAAGTAGGTCCCTTGTGGGATGGGAGATATGGATAAACAGGGAACCTGGAGGCCAGTGTCTGGGTCAGGACAGCAGAAACTATAAAGGCCTTTGAAAGCTTTGACTCGGGCCCAGAGCAGCTGTGAAGTGCAAAGACTCTCAGGCAAGCAGGGATAGGCTTGTGTTTGGAGAAGTTGGTGAGGAGGTACCGAGTGAATGCAAGAAATTGATGCCTGTGTTAACTGGGTTAACTGGGCTGTTGACTAACTGGCAGAAACGTGCACATGTGCGCACACACACAGTCCAGCCTGAGAGAACATGAAAGATACGCAATATCCATGTTCAATACCAATCTGAAGCCACTTCACCAGCGACATTTCACACAGTTATCCAGCCTCCATACACAGGGCCCACAGGGGTGGGCAGTGTGCACTGAGGAAGGGCACACTGGCTTCCCAGTGGATCCCAGGAGTCCAGTTCCTCGCCACGAGCTTCCACAGATGGCGCTGCAGGGGGGTGTGCTGCTCTCCGGCTCCTGGCAGGGCACCGGGCTGCGTCCCAGCTGCAGGCAGCAGAGCACAGGTGGGCGGGCACCCGCATGCCGAGCCCCATCCTCAGCGGTCCTGGCGCCGGACTGGCGGGGATGGGGGGTGCCGGACAGGAGGCAAGTCATAGTGTCCAGGGATGTGACTGTTTTTGGGTGAGTCGTAGTGGCCAGGAGGTAGGCCATGCGGCAGTGGGGGCTGGCAGCCCTCACGGTCTCGGTCTGCGAAAAAGAGGGGAGCAGCTGAAGAGCTGAAGGGAGCTGGTCCCCGCAGTCTCTCCTCCCCTCCCCAGCCTCTCAGCTACCAGTGGGCTACTGCCTACCAGGACTCGGTCACCTGCCTGTCCCCACATCACTGGGAGCCAACCTCCTCCACAACTAAGGTGCCATGCTCTGCCAGGAGTTTGGGGGCACTTCCGTCCTCCAGACCAGGGGCAGGCAGCCACGACACCAGCCCAGTCTGAGTTCACACTCAGCCCAAAGGCCTCGCTCTTGCTGCCAAGGCCCTCTTCTCCTCCTCCCCCCTGCCTCCCAGCCCCCCATTCTGAGCAGGAGGGAAAAGGCGAGAGCAAAGACTGACTGCACTCACCGCGTGCCGTCGGGAGGCTGGGCTGCTCATAGGTGCCGCTGTCTCTGTCTCTCTGGGACTGGGGCTGCCGCTGCTGCCTGGGCAGGGATGCTGAGGGGGGCCCCTTCATCTCAACATAGCTGCTTTCCCGGGGGTTCCCGGGAAGGCTGGGAAGGTCCCGGATGGTGGCGTAGGGGTTCTCACTGCTCAGGGAAGCTCTGCTGGCCCCCAGCCCCTCCTCAGAGATGGGCCCTGCTGACAAAGAAGAAGTCAGGCCACGTGGGGAGTGCTGGCTCCCGAGGGCCGTGCAGAACCCCCTGGAAGCTCCCACCTTTATTGAAGAAGGCGCCTGGGCCAGTGGTGTTGCTGTAGGTGTAATTTCGGTCCAGGCGGCAGCTGCCTGGGGAGAAGGCAAAGCAGTGGGACCGGGTCCTGCCCCAGGCTTCCACCTCCCTTCCAGGACCCCACCTCAGAGGGGCCATGCTATGGACATCAGCGTCTGCACCCACCCTCCCAGAAGCCCGACCCAGGCTCTACCCCTGTCCGGAGGCCCAGGAGGGGTGTCTCGGCGATGCTTCCAGTCAGCAGGCAGGGTGGCATGACTGTCATGCCCTTGGGCTCCCCCTGGCCGCTCAGGGCCCTGGAGGCTGGCAAAGAACTGACCCCCGGGAACCTAGTGGACAGGGTAGGGTGGGAGAGGGAAAATTAGTTGGCTCAGACCAAACTTTCTACGGCCTCAGCGACTTGACCACCACCCCCGCCCACCCTGCTGTCACCCCCAGCCCCAGCACTGACCTTGTTCGGGGGTGGAGGGCGTGGAGAGCACTGTGACAGGGTATGGTAGCTAGGGTTGGAGTAGTAGTGGCTATAGCTAGGAGGTACATCTGCAGCAAGAGATGAAGGCAGGGTTGTGACCTCACTGGCCAGCAGCACTGCTTCCCTTTGCACCCCAGCCCTAGGGAGGAGTACCCCTCAAGCCCTCCCCATGGCACCTCTGAGCTCGTCCTGGCCCAGAGTCTATCCCCGCCACCCTGCGGCTCACCTGGCATGACATACTCAGAGCCGTCCAGGTGCCCGCTGCTGTAGGCCACTGCCAGGTGGGGGTGCTCCTTGCCCTTTTGCCAGTGGCGGTAGCCAATGAACAGTGCCAACAGGGCTACCACCAGGGAGCACAGCACAGCGATGCCAATCACGGCCCCCAGGGAATGAGAGGCCACTGGAGAGGTGGGCATCATAGTGAAGGGCTCCTCGCTTCCTGTTTGGATGGGGCAGTCAGTCAGAGGGCCACCTTGGCTCTGCCAGTGAGCTCAGAGTGCGGGGCTTGTGTCTCTGGACACCACAGGAATGAGACCGGAACTCACCGAGCCTGCAGGGGGCACCACTATGACCAGGGGGACATACACAGGCCCCCGTCTCCGGGTGGCACCTTTCTCCAGGACCACACTGGCATGGCTGAGAGCAGTTGGCACCAAACATTCCTGGAGCACAGCCTGGGAGAGTGTCAAGAAGATAGCTTCAGAGGGGATGAGGGACAGCAGCCTTGGCCCCAGCTTATGGGAGGACCCCTAGGCATGTACCTTCCAAGCAGAGGGGTCCAGTCCAGCCTGGGGGGCAGAAACAGCTCCCATCCTGGGGCTGGCAGGTCCCACCATGGTGACACTGGCAGGGCTGGGCACAGTCAGCACCCCAGTATCCAGGAGGGCATGCTGCAGAGACAAGGTTGGAGTCTGGCCCAGCAGGGTCAGCGCCTCTGGAGGGACCCTCAGCACCCACCGTTACAGAAACCTTCCTCTTGGCTTTGGGCTTCACGAGGACAGCGAGGCTTCGAGCTTCCCTACACTGCCCCCTAGAGGCGCGGATCAGCAGCCCACTTTGCGCTACATGCCCCACCTCCACACCTTCTCCACACTTGTCTACTTTTTTTCTGGCTTTTGGGGTTTTGTGCCACACCCCACAGACCTCAGAGCTTACTCTTAGTTTTTTGCTCAGGAATCACTCCTAGCAGGGCTCAGGGACCATATGGGGTGTCAGGGATCAAACCCAGTTCAGCTACAGGCAATGCAAGCACCTTGACCCCTTCCTATGCTATCTTTCTGACCCTATACCTCAACTCCTTTTTTTTTTTTTTTGGTCATACCCTGCAGTGTTCAGGGTTTACTCCTGGATCTACACTGAGGGATCACTTCTGGTGGTGCTCGGGAAACTACAGAGCATGCCAGGGAACGAGCACAGGTCAGTCACTTTCAGTGTCCTATCCACCATACTACCCCTTCAGCCCCTCAACTCTTAAATAAGTGCTCTTAAATAATACCACCTACAGTATGACTTACACATATCTCACGCCAGCAATTTACCTAACAGCAGTGGCCACCAAGCCCTATGGGAAATAGTCCTTCACCAAGATAATGACCCTCTGCTCTACGAGCAGGTAAGTTTGCAGTCAATATTTTCTTTTTATTATCAGTGAAGCAAGATAAGTTCTTATTGAAATGTATCCAGAAAAATGTGAGGAGAGAGAAACTCAAAAGAGAATATGGGCTTCACTAGAGTAGAAGCAGGCAAGCAAAGAAACAAGCAAGCAAGGGGGAACACGGGCTTGAAGAGCAAGTCAAAGCCAATCTTTTCTTAATTCTGAGCGGCCCATTCCTGTGGTATGGGGGTCACACTCCCAGGAGGGCTCAGAGGACCAGGCAGTTCCAGGGCTCAAACCCACGCTTCCTGAAAGTAAAGCCTGCGCTTAGCCCATTTCTCCCACCCAGTCCTTTTGTGTTAAACGGCTTCTCATGCACATTCTCAAAATGTGTGTTCTCCCAAGGCTGTTTGTTTATTCTTGTGGCACTGCTTGGGACCCCAGGGTGACTCATGGTGCTGGGGGTTGGGGAATCCATGTGCTGCCAGGGATCAAACCCAGAGTCTCGCACATTCAAGGCTGAGTCACATCTCCACCCTTCTGCTCAATTTCCTGACTAGTCTGTCCCCTCATGTTCCTCATATAATCATGTGGGAAAGAGATCACATTTTTTTAGTTTGGGGCCACACCTGGTGGTGCTCAGGGCTATTCTTGACTCTGTGCTCAGGGTTCACTCCTGGCAATATGGTGGATAAAGCGTTTGTCTTACATGCAGCAAATCTGGGTTCTATCCCCAGGACCACACAGGTTTCCTAACCCTCCCAGGAGTGATCCCTGAGTGCAGAGAGAGCCTTGAGCACCATGAGGGGTGACCCCCCCCCCAAAAAAAAGAAGAAAAAATGTGTCCAAAGGGAGCTGATACTGTTCCCTTTACCCATAATGGTCCTTTTTGGAGCCCTGTGCATAGACGGGCAATCTTTCTCTGACCGGAGCACCGACAGCAATAATCAAGCTTGTAGAGACACCCAGTGAATGCCCGCTGAGACTGCTTCGGTGGGTCCAGACACATGGCACAGAAGGTCAAACACTTGCCCCTGCCAACCAACAGTTCTATCCCTGGCATTGTAGAGCATCCCCCGCCAGGAGTGATCCCTGAGTGCAGAGCCAAGAGAAAGAAATGAACACCACTGGGTATGGCCCAAAAGACAAAGGAAAAAGAGAGAAAGGTTGGGGCCTCAAGGCCGCTACATACGCTGGGAACAATCGAGGCCTGTCCAGCCAGCCAGGCAGTAGCAGGTCCCATCGGAGGGGTGGCAGGAGGAGTGGTTGGCACACTTGCAGGGCACGCAGCGCTTCCCGTAGCGGCCGGGCTGACAGGCTGGGGAAAGGAGCTCTTGGTGACAGAGTCAGGCAGGGGGAGACAGGGCCCCACCTTCCATCAGGCTTGACCCCATGACTTCCCCTCCTTCCTGCTCCCACAACTATTCCCGGGGTTGGAGTCAGCCGCAGAGACCAGGAAGAGAAGGGTGGTGCTCTGGCAAGGGGGACAGCCCCATGCTCTTCAGCTGGCAGGCAGAGGGTGAGGGGTGGGTAGGAGTCTCACTTCTCTGGCAGGAGGGGCCTCGGAATCCAGGGGCACACACGCAGTTGCCATTTTCAGGGACGCAAGTGCCCCCATTCTTGCAGGTGCAGGTGTTGGTGCAGTTCACTCCCCAGAAGCCCTCAGGGCAGGGAAGGTGGCAGCGGGACCCTGTGTGTGGGGGGGTGGGAGGGTGAAATGAACCTGGCAGGGGCCCACCTGCTTTCCATGGGGGCTTGGACACATTTCCAGTCAGATGTTCCCCTGCCCCGCCCCACAGAGAAAACCTTCCAGAGGGCTAGAATACAGGCTTAGCAGGCAGGAGGCCAGCTTCGAGCCCCATGACCCTGCACAGTTCCCCCTGAGAACTGCCAGGAGCAATCCCAGCACAAGAGAGAACTCAACCAGAAAGCTCACCTGTCCAGCCGGCCTGGCACTGGCAATGTCCATGAAATGGGTCACAGCCATCAGCGTGATCACAGTCACAGCGGCTGGCACAACCTTCACCAAACTGTCCATTCTTGGGAAGGGGTGGGAGAAGAACACTCAGCTGGGGCAAGGGATGCCCTTCCCACCCTCAGGGAGACTGGTGGGAAGCTAGTACCGGGCAGGGCTGCTCGCAGTGGACCCCCTGCCATCCAGGGGTGCAAGTACAAGCTCCAGTCTGGGGGCTGCAGGCTGCTCCGTTGGCACACTGGCAAGTGGCATTACACCCAAAGCCCCAGGTCCCAGGCAGGCAGGGCTCAGAACAGCGTCCATGCTGCCAACCTGCAAAAGGGGCCTGGCAGTTAGGAAAGGGGTCCCCCTGTTCTCACTGCAGAGAGTGCAGAGGCTGGGCTGGCTCAGGTCTGGGCTAGGAGCTCTTGGTGGTACAGAGGTGATAGTGGCCAGATAAGAGACAGTAAACAGACTAAGCAGTGACTGGGTGTGGGTCACCTCCCTCCACTAGTTGTTGGTCACCTTTTCTGCAAAAGGAGGGGTTGGAGGCAAACCCTAATACTTAGGAAGCTCCTACAGAATGAAAATTGTAAAGAGGACCGACAGGGAGGGGTGAGGCCTGGAGAAGGGGTTTTGTTCCCTAAGACATCATAGGATCCAGCTAAGCACAATGGTGTTAGAACCCCGAACGGTTGCCCCTGGTGGTCCTCGACCCCTCCAGGGCGCCGCAGTGTAACGTTCTGTGTGATTGAAGGCCAGGAATGTTTACCAATGCGGGACCCCGGGGCTGGACTGTTGGGATGGAGCAGGAATTTGCAGTGGAAGGAAAGTAAAATGGATACTCCAGGAAGGAAGAAGGCTCTGGGCAGCTTCCCCAGGGTCCACTGGCTCCTCCCTGCCCTGCTGCCCGCCCTCCAGCGCCCTCGGCCGGCCCCGCCCCTTGTAACGGGCTCTCTTCCTTAGGCCCCGCCTCCTATCACTGCCTCGCCCCCGAGTCTCCGCCCCTTATAATAGTTTTCTTAGGAAGCCCCGCCCCCTGCCCCAGCCTTCTAAATAAAGCCCCGCCCCCTTGCCACAGCTTTCCAGAAGCCCCGCCTCTTGCACAAAAAGTCTTCCCCCCGAGGCCCCGCCCCTACGAGTCCTTTTTCCCGAGGCCCCGCCTCTCGCGCCGTCCTCCTTCCTAAGGACCCGCCCCTTGTGTCCGCCTTTCCTTCTCAGGCCCCTCCCCTCGCACCCGCCTTTCCTCTGAGGCCCTGCCCCTCGCGCCCGCCTTTTCGAGGCCCCGCCCCTTGGGCCGTCCTCCTTCCCTAGGACTTGCCCCTTGTGCTCGCCTTTCTCCCCACGCCCCACCCTCACCACACCTTCCTTGCAGATGCAGGAGCCGTCGATCGGCGAGCAGGCGAGGGCATTTTCGCACGAGCAGCGTGAGGAGCAGTTGACGCCGTAGGTGTTCGGCGGGCAGAGGCTGGCGCAGTGCGGGCCCTGGAAGCGGGTGGGCGGGGAGTGAGCGGCGGGCGCGCCCCCAGCCTCCCCGGCCCGCCGGCTTCGCCCCAGCGCCTCACCGTGTAACCGGGCGCGCACCGGCAGAGGCCGCTGTCGGCCTGGCAGACGCCGCCGTGCAGGCACAGGCAGTGCTCCTGGCAGCCCGGCCCGTGCGTGTCCTGCGGGCAGCTCTCGTTGCAGTGCAGGCCCGCCCAGCCCGGCCGGCACGAGCACTCCCCGTTCATCGGGTGACAGCTGCGGGCGAAAATGGGCTCAACCCGGGTACTGCCAACCCCCTCCCAAGGAGGCAGCCTGGCACCTTCCCTTTCTGGGGCATCCTTCAGGCCTGTGGAACTGTCCCATGGGGCTTGTCGCTACTCCCCAGGACTCCAGCATCCCTGGCCTGTGGCAGGAGCGCTGAGCCCACCCACCTGAGGCTGTGTTCCGTGTCGCAGGTGCAGGGCACTTGGCAGCTGAGGCCATAGAAGCCGTCGGGGCACAGGCGCTCGGAGCAGCGGTCCCCCGTGAAGCCGTGTTCACACAGACACGCGCCGTTGGCCGGGAAGCAGCGGGCGCCCGGGGCACAGTCGCAGGTCTCTGCACAGTCCTGCCCGAAGCGGCCCACCGGGCACTCCTCCCGGCACCTGGGCATCTCTATGGGTGAGCCTGGGCCTCCCCTCCCCATGGGTAGCCCCCTCCCCACAAGCAGAGCAGTCCTTGCTGAGGCCACTCACCGGTCCCCAGTATAGCCGGGTGAGCAGCGGCACTGCCCTGTGAAGCGGTCACAGAGCCCACCGTTGTGGCAGTGGCACTCCAGGGAGCAGTTGGGTCCGTAGAAGCCCTCGGGACAGGGCAGGGAGCAGATGGTGCCCTGGTGGGGTTAGAGGGCTCAAGCCCCAAGTGCCCAGGCTGCCTGACAGCCACCCACCCCAACGGTCCCATACCCAAAATCCACATGCAAACCCGCCCAGGCCCACCCACCCCCACGTCCTCAGAGTCCGGGGAGCCGCCCGCCTCTCATACCGTCCAGCCAGGTGGGCAGCTGCAGGAGCCCAGGGGGTCCTCGAAGACACCCCCATTGTGGCAAGAATGGGTCCGGGGGCAGAGAAAGTCATTGGTACTGGGAAGGCAGGACAGCTCACAGCTGCTGGGCACAGGGTGCAAGTCAGTGTCCAGGCCCTGATGTCCAGGCTGATTTCCAGAAAGCACCAATTTCCAGGCTGGCCATGGCAGGCAGGAACCCCCAGCAAGCAAGCACCCTCAGTGCAGAGGTGGGGAGACAGCAGTCGCCCACCCTCAGCCCTCTCTCTTCGCTCAAGTCTCGGGGGCATCCCACTCCAGGGCTTCTTCCTGAAGTTGGATCCTGGGCCTCTAGCTGCATGCTCTTTTTCTTCTTCTGCGCCCAGGAAGACTGTCATTCCATTAATGCGCTGCCCCCACTCCCCGCTATTACCCACCTGGGCCCAGTTTTTCCCGGGGGACAGAAACAGGCTCCAGTCTCGGGGTGGCAGGGCGCCCCGTGGCACTGGCAGCTGAGCTGGCAGGCGGGGCCATAGTGGCCTGAGCGGCAGGGCAGCAGGCAGAGTGGGGGTTGCAGGCCCGCAGGACAGAGGCAGGCCCCACTCTTGGGGTCACAGGAGCTGCTGTTGCCACAGAGGCAGGGCCGTTCACACTTGGGGCCCCACACTCCTGGGGCACACGCTGCGGAAGACAGAGGGAGAGCAGGTCACCAGGGCCCTGGGCCCCCACCCCCGCAGGGAGGACCCACAGCTGTGTCCTGAACTGAGTCCAGGGGCCCCCACTCACCGCTGGAGCAGTCGTCACCCCTCCAGGCTGCTGCACACTGGCACTGACCTGGCGCCACACAGCGTCCGTGGACACATTCCTGGGCACAGAGTGCTGGGCAAGGCAGGAGGGTAGGCTGCACCCCCATGTCCTCAGAGGCCAACCCCACCTCCCCTACCCCCCAGAGCCCTGCACACTGCCCCGGGACAATCTGGTCAGCAGTGACGGGACTCGGCTCTGCGGCCCCTTTGAGTTGCTCTTCCTCAGCACCTTGCTGGGAAATGGGGGGTCCTCCCTCAGCGAAGGACTAGACACGGACACTGCCAGAGGGTCTTGGCAAGCAAGGCAGCGGGAAGAGGGTCAGACCTCCTGGCCTGGAGGTCAGAATACTGGGGAGCAGAGCCTAGACAAGGCAGAGACTGGGGGAGGAGAGGGACCCCAGTTGTAGGCTGGGGAATGTGGAGGGGATGTGGGAGAGATGGGGTAACGGGAGACAGGGACACGTGGCCCATCTGGAGGACACCCAAAAGAGGGGAGAGTACAGTGGGCAGGGCGTTTGCCTTGCACACAGCTGCCTTGGGTTCAAATCCCCAGCACCCCATATGGTCCCCTGAGCACAGAGCACCGCCCAGAGTGGCCACCAAACCCAACCCAACCCAGGAAGCCCTAAAGTATCAGGGTAGCCCCTGTGGGGCCCCCACTCACAGACACAGGCCCTGCCCCGGCCCCACTCACGGACGCAGACTCCGCTGCTCTCGTAGAAACCTCGACAGCACTGGAGGCGCCTCCGGTGGTCGATCCTCACTACCTGGCGGTACACGGTCCGGTAGACCACCCTGGGGAGCCCAGAGATGCCCTGAGTGCTCCCTGCTCCCAGGCACCAGGGCAGCCGCCTCCATGCCCCCTGGGCCGTGCACCATGAACATGTGCGATTGCACCCTGCCTCCAGCCCAAAGGCTCCCCCAAATCTCGCACTGGAGAACAGGGCTGGGGGTCGCTCACGTGGGCCGTGGGCAGGTGTGGGGGCTCTCCCAGGGCCGCTCGCAGGGTTCGGGGGGCAGCAGGCTGAAGGGGCGGGACTGCGACTCCTTGGTGGTGGTGGTGAAGCTGCGAGACACAAACAGGGTGAGGGGCCTGGACACAGGGGCTCGAAGCTGGCACGAGGGGGTGGCAGGAAGCAGAGGCATGAGGACTGGGCACCCCAAGATTTGGGTCTGATCTCCCCAAGCTCGACTTCCCTGTCCCCTCTGTTTTAAATGAATCCTTCCAGAATAAGGGTATTTCTGGGACATCCCCCTTTCATAGAGCCCCCATCAGAGTCCCCTTCTGAGCCCCTGGACCAGAGTCTTCCGTGCATCCCCATTCCCTCCCAAGCTGGGGGCTAAACTCACTCCCACTGCTCTGGGCCGGGGCTGAAGCAGGTCTGGACAGAACCACCCACTCCACCCCTTCTCCTGTGCCCCATCTGGCTGGTTCCCATCTGTGCCCACCAGGACCACAGGCCATGGACGAACCTGGGTGAGCAGACACAAGGTGGGCCCCACAGAGAGGGACATGGTGGGTTAGGAGAGCATGACAGAGGGAAGGAGAAAGCAGGGGTGAGGGGAGCGGCAGCAGGAGAGAGAAGGTAGGTGTGAGGTGACCAGGGCAGCAGGAGGGGAGAGAAGGTAGGAGTGATGGAGGAGCAGGGCAGCAGGAGGAGCAGAAAGAAGGTAGGGATGATAGAAGTAGGACAGGAGGAAGAGAGAGAAGGTAGGGGTGAGGGGAGTAGGGCAGCAGGAGGGGAGAGAAGGTAAGGGTGAGGGGAGCATGTCAGCAGGAGGGAAGAGAAGGTAGAGGTGAGGGGAGCAGGGTAGTAGGAGAGGAGAGAAGGTAGAGGTGAGGGGAGCAGGGCAGTAGGAGAGGAGAGAAGGTAGAGGTGAGGGGAGCAGGGCAGTAGGAGCGGAGAGAAGGTAGGGGTGAGGGGAGCAGGGCAGTAGGAGAGGAGTGAAGGTAGGGGTGAGGGGAGCAGGGCAGTAGGAGAGGAGCGAGGGTAGGGGTGAGGGGAGCAGGGCAGCAAGAGGGGAGAGAAGGTAAGAGTGAGAGGGGAGTAGAGCAACAGGAGGAGGGGAGAAAAGGAGGATTGAGGGGAGCAGAGAAGCAGGAGGAGGGGAGAGAAGATAAGGGTGAGGGAAGCAGGGCAGGAGCAGGAAGGGAGAGAAGCCAGGGGTGAGAGGAGCAGGGCAGCAGCAGGAGGGGAGGGCTGCGGGCACTGGGACTGCCTCTCACCTCTCCCAGACGCTGCAGGTGTTGGGATCACTGTGGTCAAGGCCAGTGGTCAGCCCGAGGCCCAGGGCCAGGAGCAGGAGGGGGTGCAGAAGCAGAGGCGACACCATTCCTGAGCTCAGCGGGAGGCTGGGCTGAGCAGGAACCTGGGTGCTGGGAGTGCAGATGTTGGGGCTCCTGCTCCCCAGCCTGGCGCCACCCCCCACCACCGCCTGAGTCTCTCCTGCTGTGTCAGAAGAGCCTACAGCTCCCCAGCTTCCCTTCCCCAGAGGGCTCAGCTCTCACCCCATCTGTTCCCGCTCCTGCTCTCCCCACGCTCCCCCTCCTCCCTTCTGGGGTCCCCAGCATCCACTCCTGCTGTTCCAGTGCCAGATCCCTGGCAGTGGCCCCAGAGGGACCCACCCTTACGTCCCAATCCCAGCCCCACCGCCACCACCTCCCCTCCCCCCATCCCCAGCCTCTCTGCTGTGCCCCAGCAGGGGCTGCCGGTGGGCTGGGCAGAACCTTCCAGCAGCAGGAGTGAAGGAAGCAGTTACCTTAGGTGCTGAGGCCCGTCACTGGGGGTGTGCGGGCAGAGCCCCAAAGCCCAAGGCCGCGGGTGGCGTCCTGCAGAGGTGGGGTGGGAGTGGGCTGGGGCCTGGGGGGCCCGCGGCCAGCCCCCACCGCGCGCTGGCGCCGCTCATCCGGACTCCAGGCTCCGCAAAGTCCCGCTTGAAATCAGGCATGGGGGTGTTGACAGCAGGGCCAGCACACCAGAGACACCCCCCCCAGGCCAGGTGCACCGCCCAGGCCAGACCCAAGCTCTCAGGAGAAGCCCCCCCACCCCGCCCCCTGCCGGCCCCGCCCCCCGCCCCCGCGCACCTCGCCCAGGAGGTGGGGAGCAGGTCGGGACCTCAGATGGGCCTGGATCCCGGCACCCCCACACTCGGCCCAGGCACCCACATCTGCTTGTGATTTCTCCGGAGCTGGGAAGGTCGCGGCGGCTGGCCCGGGCCCCCCAGAGCATCTCCGGAATGCGGCCCAGGCCTACCCCGCACCCCCCACCCACGCACTCCCAGGCCCCCCCCCTCACTCCTCCTCCAATCAGGGTCTGTGCCTTGCCTCAGGTCCCTCTTTAGGGAGATGTCCGCTGCCCGGCTTAACCCCCTCTCACCCACAGACTGCCCCCCACCCCTCTCATCCCAACCGTGGGTCTCTGCCCCCTTCCCACCTCTCTGGCTAGGCGCCCACAGCACAGCCCCCCACTAATCTCCATCCCTCCCATCAGCGCCCAAGAGACTCACCAGACCTCTGTGGCAAGCTGGGTCCCCAGGAACACGGAGGAGCAGGGGCCAGGCAAGGTTCTGGGGGATGCCCAGGACGGGATACAAAGCCACAAAGCCTGAAAACAGGAAATGAAGCCTGATCTGAACTTGTGGTAGGGTATAGGAGTAGGGAGGAGTTAGCTGGGGGTCTTCCCACCATCCCGAATCCAAATGGGGGGAATGCCTGTCCCCAAGTTGGTCGGCACCCCCAGCACCCGCAAAGCATCCCTCTGACAGACCCAGCTAGTGTTGTCCTTGGCAGCCAGGGCATGCTCTTGACACCCACGGACGGCCCCTCACCACCCCCCAGGGTCATGGGGCCTGGTGTGGAGTCCAGCCCATTGGAACGGGGCGCCCCCTCTGGTTGCACAGGCCTGCGGGGAGCCCCGGGCTGCAGTGAGGGGCACAGAGCAGGTGGGAGGCTTAGAATTGGGGTGAGCATCAGCACCCCCCAAGCGCCCCTCCTTCCTGGCCCACCCCAGAGGGCGGGAGAGCCCAAGCTGTGGAGGAGGTTGGTCAGGGTGGGGCTGGCCACCAGGATGGGGTCCAGAGGCCAGTGGGGGGGCGGGAGGGGAGGGGCGTGCAGCTCCTCCTTCCTCAGACCTAATGTCTAAGAAGTAGACTGGGTGCTGGCTTTCCTCACTCTGCCCAGGGGACCCCTCGCTTCCCTCGCTAGCCGTTGGCAGGCTTTTTTTTTTTGGTTTTGGGCATCATGGGCTGGAGCTATAGCACAGCGGTAGGTAGGGCGTTTGCCTTGCGCGCAGCCAGCCCGGCTGAGCCAGGTTCGATTCCTCCGCCCCTCTCGAAGAGCCTGGCAAGCTACGGAGAGTATCTCGCCCGCACGGCAAAGCCTGGCAAGCTACCCGGGACATATTCGATATGCCAAACACAGTAACAAGAAGTCTCACGATAGAGATGTTACTGGGCCCGCTCGAGCAAAATCCATGAACAATGGGAGGACAGTGTTTGTGTGTGTTTGTTTGGGGGTCACACCTGGTGGTGCTCAGGGTTTATGCTCTGCTGGGGGCTTGGTGTTGCTTGGGCCCGGAGACCCCACAGGCAAAGCACCTGCCGCAGGCCTCTGAGTGGCCTCCCGATCCGTGCTTCTTCTGGTTCAGATGCCCCTTCCCAGGCCCCCTCCGAAGCAGCTCTGGCTTGAGTGACCTGTAATACGCACCCCCCACCCCGCGCCCATATCAGACCTACTGGCACTGAGCAATACCTGCCGCTCCTCACTGAAGCTGCCATCTGCCCCTGCAAATTCTCCATTTCAGGGCTGAAACTGAGAGGGTAAGTCACTTGCCCAAGGCCACACAGCCTGCTGTATAGTCTGGAACGCAAAGCCAGGCTGCCGGCAGGGCCTCCCCATAGCCTTGGCCCCGCCAGAACCCCGAATGCTGGCCAGAGTCCCAAGGCCTTGCACTGCTTTTTAATGGCCTCAGTTGGGGGGGGGGGGAAGGAGGAGGGGGGGAGCCAGGGGGCGGGGACCCCACCAGGGCAAAGCTTGCACTGTAGAAGGGCTGGGGGCGAGCGTGGGAACTGGGACGTGTTTATAGTCAGGAATGAGCTGACACTTCTCACCCCTCCAGCTTGAGATGCAAAGCAGCTGGGCTCCCAGCCAGCCCAGGGTCCCCAGCCCCCAGCCCTGCCTCTGGGTCACAGAGCCCCCTCCCCTGCTGTCTCCAAGCTCAGCCTAACTCAGGGAGCCCCCTCCCCCTCCCCCTCATCCCATAAGAGTCTAGGGTCATGGGGAGGGGGCAGGTTGGCCCAGATCACGCAGAAATGGCCCCTGCGAGCAGAGTGGTTGCATGAGACACAGGACCCCAAACATCTTGCCAGCTTGTGCGTGGGGGAAATGGGTGAGGGTACTGGGTGCTCGATCTACACCTGGGTGGGCCCAGATCTGTCTCCTCGAGGGGCTGGGCTGAGACGAAGGCGCCTTCCCTGGGGGACCATCCTCTGCACTTATGAGTGGCTGTCACTGCCACAGACTCCGTGATGCTGGGCTGGTGATGGGCCCCACGAGAGCCCCTGGGCTGGCCTCTCCCTACGCCCACGGGCCCATCCCCTTGGCACCAGCCCTCGCTCTGGGCCTAAATTCTTCAAAAAGCTGATTCGTGTGTATATGTGCGCATGCGTGTGTTTTCTGAAGAACCCCCAGGATGATCTGGGAAAAGGAATGGGCTTTAGATGCTGACAGCGAGAAAGGAAGTGGAGGAAGGGGGGCTGAGCTCCCCCGGGAACCTGATCCCCCAGAATCATGGGCTGCAGGCCAGGTGCTCATCCAGCCCTGGCGGGGGAGGTGGAGGCTGCCGCTCCCTGCTGGTCTGTCTCTCTCCAGTCCTCCTCCTGGCCCTCCAGGATGGGGCAGCCATGGACAAGTTGTTTCTGAGCCTCCTTTTCTCATCTGTGAAATGGGAGAGTAACGCCCCCACCCCACCCCCACCCCCGTTGGCTCCCTGAGGGTGGGAACGGGGGAAGGGGGGAAGAGGGGAGTTCCCACCCAACGTGATATGGTGGCTGCTGTGGAAACCGCCCATGCCACGGGCGTCTCAGACTCGCTCACTCCTCTCTCTCTGCCCGGGTCTGGCTCTTTGTCAGGCACCCTCTGCACGCTGTGCTCCTTCCACCCTCTCTCTGCCTCTCGGTCAGCCTGCACAGCTGTGTTCACTGTGCCAGGGTAACTGCATCCAATGTGTGGAGTGAGCCAAACTGCAGCCGCCACGCCCTCACCCAGTGCCACGGTCCGTGCCTGGCCTGCATTTCCCTGGCCTCTGTCCCCGCTGCTCCTCTCTCCCCCTCCTGAGCTGTGCTTGTGGTGACAGCGGATGCCCCCCCCACTCCGCTCAGCTGGGAGCCCAGCCTCTGCCCCCGTGGGGCCCACCTGGGGATGCCCTAAGCTGGCTCCCCTGCCCGAGGGAGGCCGCTGTCCCAGGCCGACACAGCGGCCCTCCCACAGCTGGCCCGGCCTTTGGCATGCCAGGCATGTCTGCCGGATGGAGGGACAGGAAGCCTGCGTGTGAGCCATGGGCTGGGCGGGAAGGGGCAGGGGTTAAGGGCCGGCCTGTGTGCTCTGCGCCACAGGAAGCAGAACTGGAGGGTCCTGGGCCAACCTGTTTACTCACCAGGAAGCAGGGAAACTGCTGGGCTCTGACTCACCAAACAGCTAGGGCATGCTGGGGGGGCGGGACTGGCCCCACCTTCAAGTGGGTGCTAGTGACCCTCAGAGCCAGCGCCTAGAGGGCATGGTTAGAATGACCTGCCCAGCAGCTGACACGCCCTCAGGGGCCGCAGAGAGCGGAATGGCAGGCTCCGGCTCTGAAACACGCTGACCTCCGTTCATCCCTGGTACCATATAGAGCCCCCCAAGTACCACCAGGAGTAAGCCCTGAGCACTGCCGGTTGCGGCCCCCAAAGCCAAAACCAGGAAGAAAAGAAAAGAAAAAAAGCAGGTGGGCTGGGGCTAGAGAGATAGTCCAGTGGGTATGGAGTTTGCCTTGTACACAGAAGACCCTGGTTTGATTCCCAGCATCCTATATGGTCCTCTGAGCACTGCCGCGAGTAATTCCTGAGTGCAGAGCCAGGAGTAAGCCCTGAGCTCACCGGGTGGGGACTATGAGGGTGCTAGGCCAAAGGGTGCATGCTCCTCCCCAGGTCCCCTCAAAGTGCAGCGCTGCTCTGGTCAGTGACACCCTTCCTGCCCCACCTCTGCCCTGAGGCCCGTCACACCTGGTAGCCCATTGACCCCATCACGCAGCCCCCTGACCACACAGTTCCTCATCTACATAGTCCCCTGTCCACACAGTCCCCTGTCCACATGGTCCTCTGTCCACATAATCCCTGTTCACATGGTTCCCTGTCCACAGTCCTGTCCACACAGTCCCCTGTCCACGTTTCCCTGTCTACACAGTCCTGTCCACACATTTCCTGCCCACACAGTCCCCAGGTCCTACCTGCCCTCCCAGCCTCCTCTTCCAGGAAGGCCTCAATGGCTCTGGCCCTCAAGCCTGCACCTGCCAGTACAAACTGGGAGCCCCTGGCCCAGGATCCTGACCCCAGTTCCTCTCGAGTCCATTATGTCAGACCCCAGAGGCCCAGCCCCTTGCAGAAGGCTGTCCTCCCCACCTCCGCGGGGACATGTGGGACTAACCCAGGCACAGAGCTCCCAGCCCCTGCAGCAAGCCTTAGGCCCCATCAGGTGACGGGTGCCCCCTCTCTGCACTCCTGGCTCGGAGTCAGGTTTCTCCTCCAGGATGGGCCCCCCTAATCTTCTTCCTCTACAGTGTTCCCAGAGCGGGGTCTGGCCCTCTGCATCTGGTAGCAGCAAGAAACTGGGGAACACATGCACAGAGAAACCGGAAATTCTTCCTTTGGCTGTGGCGGAGCCAGAGGGGTGGGGGCGGCTCGGGGTCTCCCTGCCCCTCCTTCCTGGGCCCTCAGACAGGAATCCCCCAGCTCCTCCAGTGCTAGGGATGAGGCAGCCCAGGGCCAGAGACAGTCACTCGGGGCCGGCCCTGATCCTGCACCTCAGGCCCAACGAGGACACCCAGCTCACCCCCTAAGCTCCAGAGGGAGCACACCCTGACACCGCTGTTTGGGAGGCCGGGCCCCACCCGCATGCTGTCCCTCTCAGGCCTGCCTCAAGCCACTTCGCTAAATGTGCTTGGGTTGGAGTGACACAGCATTTGCCTTGCATGTGACTGACTTGAGTTCAAGCCCCAGCCTCCCACATGGTCCTTGAGCACCTGAGTGCAGAGCCAGGAGTCAGCCCTGAGCACCGTCAGGTGTGGCCCACTGGGCTAGAGCCTGCCTTTCAGTTCTCTCACAATCCTGCAAGGTGGGTTCAATAACCACCACTCTGCAGGTGAAATACCACAGAGAAGGCAAGTCATTTGCCCAAGGTCACACAGCCAGCTCAGCAGAGCAGGTCTGGCGAGGCAGATCATCCTGTCCCAGGCTTCACTCTGTCTCCCAGGCTGACCCTCCTCCCCTCCTGGTCTCCCCTTCACTTCTCTGTGACCATCCCCCTTGCTTCCCTGCGGGCTCAGGCTCTCTGTCCGGGGGTCCCCAGTCTGTCCTGCTGTCCCCCACCCCCAAGCTATGGCCAGGAATGGAACCCGCACAGCCCGCACACAGTCCCAGCCCCTCACCACCTCCCGGCCCTTTCCCAGCCCATCACCCCTAATCTCTCAGGGTTTCCGAGGGGGCATTGCCCAGGCCTGCCTGCAGAGTGGGTTTCCTCTTCTGGGGACGCCTGATAGGGGAATGTTGGGGGGCGGGGAGGGGAGCCCCAATGGCAGAGCTAGACCAGGGGAGGCCTGGGCAGTGGTCAGGACACAGCAGGGGCGCCTCAGGGATGGTGCTGAGCGGGCTGCAGACAACAGCATCCCCACCCCCGCCCTGACAGCTGGGGCCAGTGACCCCTTGCCTGGAGCCGAGGTCTGGCTGGGCCTGGGAACTGCAGGCCAGCACAAGCTGTCCCCATCCCATGGGACTGGGGTCACCGCCCAGGCCCCTCCGGAGTGTCCCCTCGGACTGTGTCACCCTCAGCCACGAGAGCGCTGAGAGCTGGCCAGGAATATGAGATGGGGTGAGGGTAAGGGGCTGAGGCCAGAATCCCCGAGTCCTCCTCCCGAACCCCCAGCAACCCCCTCTTGCTGTTACCACTATGGGGGTGGTCACTGAGGGGCCTGGACGGCGTCGGGAGGTATACCCTGTCCCAAACACAGCAGGCTCCATGGGCCGGACACATGCATTGCATGCAGGAGGGTCATATCCAATCCCCAGCCCTTCACGGTCCCTCAAGCACTTCTAAGAGAAAACCCAGAACAGAGGATACCCCCAAGAAACCGCTGAGACCCAGAACAAAAACAACCAGGAAAACCCCCAAATATGGGCCATGAATGTTCCCAGCCTGAGACAGGGATCTATCCACTTGAGCCTCACAACCCACGGGGGCATGCACTGTTTGTTCCCCTTGGGCAGATGGGAAACTGAGGCACAGGTGAAGTCCCTTTTGAGGGGAGGTTCATAAGTACTGCTCAGCGGGGGGTGCTCCCTGCAATACTCAGCGTCTATGTGTGTGGTATGGGGCAGGGGGTCCATAGAGGACAGAGGCTGGGCCCCTGAGCTGGGGGCCCGCTAGTACCACCCCAGGGGCATCTGGGTGCTCAGGGGCCTCCTGGACGCCAGGGGGCGGTGCTGGGGCCGGGGCCGCGATGATGCCAAATTCGCACCCCGAGCCCCAGCGCGCCAAGTTTGCGCCCTGGAGGCTGCACCGCGGGCCACTGTGCAGGGTAGTCGCAGCGCCAACCGGGGAGGGGGCTTGCCTCGCCCTGGTGCTCCTTACATTCCTCTCCCCCACCCCCTGCGAAGCGAGGTCCTGGGGCCCCTTCTCCCTCCTGCCCGAGAGGGGACCCTAGGGAGGGGGCGGCTGCCCGGGCGGGAATGCGGGAAACAGCCGCATTCGCGTGCGACCTCCGCGTCGCTGCACGCCGAAGCTGCTGCGCCCCTCGTCGGCCCCCTCCACCGTCCCCTCCCACGGCCCTTCGTCCCTTCCCGACCCCTCCCGCCCAGGGGTCTCGAGCACCGCAGCGGCCCCCAGAGCGTGCACACGCCCTGCCCCTGGCGTCGGGGATCGTGGACACTCACCTGCCTGACAAGCGGCTCCGTCAAACCCTTCTGGCCAGGGGACCGCGTGGGGGGCCCGTGGGGCGGGGCGGGGGGTCCTGCCTGCGCCACAGCCCGGCTGCGGGAGCGGCGGCGCCCAGGGCTGAGAGCGCGGGGCGGGGAAGGGCGCGAGGGGCGGAGGGGGGGGCAGGAAGGGGGTGGGACTCGGGCCCCGAGCCCAGGCAGGAAGTTTTGACAAGGAAACCGGGAGCAGGGGAGGGGGACTCTGGGGGGGGGGGGGTGACTGGCTGGGCAGGGACCGAGGCGGGTGCGCAGCAGGGCGGGGAACCGCGAGAGGGACGCGGGGAGAACTTCGGAGTTCCGCTAGCCGTGTGGCTTGCGGCACTTTGTGCACCGCGCGTGCCTCAGTTTCCCTGTCTGCAAATGCGGGTTCTGCGTGCGCCTCCTCCCCAGGATCGCCTGCCCACTGGGGTCTTAGAACAGACCCCACCCGGGACCGAGCGGCCCGACGCTTAGGAGGGCGAGGCGGGCAGGGGGACAGGTCTCTGCTCTCCCCGGCCACCCCGGACCACCCCGCCAAAGCACACGCAGGGTGTGATCCTGGGAAAGTCTCCGCCCGTGCGCGCCACCGCGCGGCCAGAGCCCGCCGCCACCTGCGACCCGGGAGCAGGGGTGCTAGCGAGGTCCGCAACTTGCACCTCAACTAGGACCCTTCCAGGGTCCCCAGGCTTTCATCATCCTCATCAGGGCTTTCTGTGCTTCGTGTAAACCCCAGATTGGCCCATTTACATGTTGATACCCCGCAGTGGTCAAAACACTAGAAAGTAGCAGAAGCAAGATCTGAACTGAGATCTGTGGTCTGTGCAATTCCAAGGCTTCCTCTGCAAACCATGGTCTGCTTGGGCATATAAAAAAAAAAAAAAGGTGGCTTACGTGCTAGGTGAAAAGGAAGCTCAGATAGAGAAGAGAGCACCAAATAAAGGGTGTTGTGAGGACCCTCCCAGGGTGGGAGAAGCATGCTGAAAGTAGACTATAGACCAAACATGATTTCCACTCAATGCCTCTCTTGCAAAACACAGGACCCAAAAGAAGAGAGAGAGAACAAGGGGGAATGCCCTGCCACAGAGGCAGGGTGGGATGGGGGGGATGGGGGGTGGGAGGGATGCTGGGACCCGTGGTGGTGGAGGATGGGCGCTGGTGGAGGGATGGGTACTTGATCATTGTATAACTGAAACCCAAGCACAAAAATTTATAAGTCTATAACTGTACCTCATGGCATTTCACTAATAAAAAAATTTAAAAAATTTAAAAAAAAGGTGGCTTGTTAGGGAGCACTCAGCTTCCTAGGAGACTTTTTAAAAAACGACTTTAATGGGAACACTGGTGGAGGGAAGATGACACTGGTGGTGGGATGGGTGTTGAAATATTATATGCCTAGAACTTAATTGCCAGTAACTTCATACATCACAGTTTTTTTTAATTTATTAAAAATAGGGCCTGGGGGCTGGAGAGATAACACAGTGGGTAGGGCGTTTGCCTTGCACACGGCCGACCCGGGTTCGATTCCCAGCATCCCATATGGTCCCCTGAGCACCGCCAGGAGTAACTCCTGAGTGCAGAGCCAGGAGTAACCCCTGTGCATCGCCAGGTGTGACCCAAAAAGCAAAAAAAAAAAAATAGGGCCTGGAGTGATAGCACAGCAGGTAGGGCGTTTGCCTTGTACGCGGCCGACCCGGGTTCTATTCCCAGCATCCCATATGGCCCCCCAAGCACCACCAGAAGTAATTCCTGACTGCATGAGCCAGGAGTGACCCCTGTGCATCTCTGGGTGTGACCCAAAGAGCAAAAAAAAAAAACTATTAAAAATAAAAAGTTTACTAAGGTAGTTGACATGCCATAAAATAGGCCCACAGGAACAGTGCAGGGGCTTAGAACCAGGGGCTTTAAGAGTCCTGAGTTGGACTCTCCTGTTTCGGATGCACCAACACAATCCTGGCTTATGCATAAGCAACGTCCAACTGCATCACAGTTCTCACACAAAGGAATATGGGACTGGGGAGGAATATGGGGAGGAATATGGGGAGGAATATGGGGAGGAATGAAGGTACTTGCTTTGCATCCCACCCACCCTGATTTCAACCCCAGTGCCACACAGGGTCTCCTAAGCACTTTCAAGGGTCACTCCTGAGCACCACTGGGAAAATAAGAAAGGAGGGACCAGAGATGAGTTACAGTGGGTAGGGCATTTACCTTGCATGCAGCCAAAGTAGGTTTGGTCCCCTGCGCCCTATATGGTCCCCTGGGGCACAGAGAGATCCCTCAGTGCAGAGTCAAGAGTAAGCCCTGAACGTTGCTGGGTGTAGCCGTACCATACCATACCAAGCTGAGGATCAGACTGGGGGTGGCTGCATACCTGGACCCCTGTACTCTGGCCCCCCATTGTGAATTCTCCATGAGCCTCTTACGTAAGGAGGGACCCTGTAGACAATGGTATTCCCCAAAATCTAGGCCACATTTCCTACGTGTGTAGCAGGTCACAGGAGGTCTATGTAATCACAGTGACATTTACACAACTAATGTGTGTATCAACATGCCTCTCAGGACTTGGCACCACCATTATGGGACGTTTGGCATACTCTGGTCTCCTTGTAGAAAACATGCTGAGAATGTTTCATGTCTGAGAAAACTCTGAAAAACAGCAAGCGTCACATAGTTTGGTGTTCCAGGGATGGGGGGGTGTGGCAGAGTCGTACACGCTGGGTGCTGCGTGATCATTTTCCTGACGTCAGTGCCAAGACTGTCCAGCAGGGGACAGCAGAAGCCAGTGTACAACTCCAGTGGCCGGAGGCCAAAGACCATAGAGTTGCAGCAAATCAGAGACCAGAGCGGCCTTAAAGTTTGGTAATCCCGAACCTTGAAGGGGCTGGCAGCTGGGTAGCACGGACCAAAGAGCATGGTCTTGCTCTCCTTCCTCCCTCCTCCCACGCTTGCTCCAATCCTCCCCCATTCTGTTCAACTGCCCTTTCCTTGGGAGCCCTTCCAGCCTCTGCCTCTCGTCCGTGTTCCACTGCTGCGTCTATAAATTCCCTTTTCTTCCTCCTCTCCCACCTCCTGAGTTCGGCAAGGACTGGAGCCAGGGCCGACACCACCTGAGCCCTGGGCCGGCTTCAGAGGGCCGACACCACCTGGGCCAGCGTCAGAGTGAATGAACCGCCACCTCCTTCAGCTGTCTACACCCGCTTTGACTCCTGAGCACCCTAAACTACAGGATGGAAGTTTCCCTGCTGCTCCAGTCAGCCCTTTGACAAGTACACAACATTCACGGGTGTGCAGTTCACAGAGGAAATGACAACGATGATGGTGGTGTTGATGCCACCTGTCACTGTATTTGTGACGGCGGCAGGAGGCACACCCAGGGGGCTGCGAGCTACTCCTGGCTCTGAACTATGAGGTCAATCCTGGTGGAGTTCAGGGGACTAGGTAGGACAAGGGATTAAACCCAGTCCTCTCGAATGCAAAGCATGTGCTCAGCTCATTGAGCAGTCTCCTGGCCCTGACATCTACTGCTATCATTAACCAAACACTACTAGGTATCAGTCATAGGCCCCCCTCCAAAGGGAAAAAAAAAAACTAACCCTTATATCAAGACTTATTTAGGCAAGACACGCAAGTTCCCTGTACTCCACAAGATCACCTGTCGCTGGGGAAAGTGTTATTCATTTGATAAAGGTTTGTGAAGCACCTACTATGTGCAGGCATTGGGGCTGCAGGTTCTCTGCCTGCATGTGGAAGGTAAAAATGAATCTCTAGGGATGGGGGTGAGTGAGTTGTTTGTTTTTGTTTGGGGGCAACGCCTGGCAGTGCTCAGCGATCACTCCTGGCTCTGCACTCAGGAACGACTCACTCCATGTTCAGTGGACCATATGGGCTGCTGGGGACTGAACCCAGGTCAGCTGCATGCAAGGCAAGCTCCATAACCCTCTGTATTACTATTGCTCCAGCCCCTGAATCTCATGTTTGAGGAGCAGTGCTGGGGAGAGATGCTTGGTAGACTGAATCAATGCAATCTTGATGTATGTACTGGGAGATGATAAACACTAATTTTTTTGAAACAGAGAAAAAAACAGGAAAGGAAGAGGGCGTGCAGGGAGTTTGAAAAGGGGGTCAGGGACGGTTTCACTCAAAAGGGAAGATCAAAAGAAACGAGGAAGAATTCTTGCAGATTGTAGGGGGAAGATACATTCCAGGCTTGGAAGCCTCAACCATGTTCCAAGACCAGGTCAGAGATTGCGCCTTGGGCCCAGGAGTACAGGCAGAGTTACATGCCTTGCACGCGGCCAACCTGGGTTCCATCCTGGGCACCACTTGGATCCCCCAAGCACTGCCAGGAATGATCCCTGAGCACAGAGCCAGGAAAGCCTGTGCAGAACCAGGTGTGAGCCATCCACCCTCAAAAAAATAAAAGAAATGAGAGCTGACAGATTTGGGGTGCAGTACATTCTGAGCAGGAAAGGCCTTGTATTTATTCAGGGACTGGAGCAATAGTACAGCAGGTAGAGCATTTGCCTCGCACATGGCCAACCCAGGGAGTGTGAGTGTGAGTGTGTGTGAGAAAATGTATGAGTGAGAAAGCACGTATGAGTGCTTGTGTGAATATGTGAGTGTGTGACACTGTGACAGAATGTGAGTGTGTTGAATGACTGTGTGTACATGTGTGTATTATTGTGCGTGACTTTGTGTTTGAGAGTGATAGAGTGTATATATGTGTGTGACAAGTGTGTTAGGGAGTATGTGAGAATGTGTATGTGTGTGTCTATGTTTATGAGTGTGTGAGTACAAGTGTGGGTGAGTGTGTGTTAGTGTGAGTGTGTGTGTGAATATGCATAGTGTGGGAATGTATGAGTTTGAATATGTGAGAGTGAGTGTGTGTGTGCAAGTGTGGGTTAGTGAGTGAATCTATGTATGTGTGAATGTGAATGTGTGAGAGTAAGTGTGTGAGTGTGAGTGCAAGTGTGTATTAGTGTGTGTTTGAGTGTGA